CTAACGTGGTGCGTCATGAGTACCGACAGCGAAGCAGTGGGTAAGACTTAAGAGTTTAGCCATCGCTCACCGTCCAGCCTCCGTTGCGGTCGCCGGTTGCACAGAATTCCGTGCATGCTTCTTTGCGCCCCGCTGCCTGGGGAGTCCTATTTTTCAAATCACAGCTAACATGCCGAGTGGGCAAGTCACACAGCAGGTTTCTGTGATTGTGCCGAAGAATGAAGTATAACATTTAAGCTGACAGGTTTGATGGTGACTCAGGACTCGTTTGTGAAGGTAGAAACTCTCCTGTGAACCAATTCGAGAAAGCCCAGTGGGTCGTTGTCCGTCGCCAAGTTCGACAATCTGCGCCTCTCACTCAAATCCCTTCGATTTCACACTCCCACCCCTTTCATCGCAATTTCACACCAAATTAAAAGAGGCGGGTATTCGATCCGCACGAGTCGTGGTGAGTATCAGTTTAGAGCCAGGCGCTCAGACCACTTCCATTACATCCCCCCCCCCCCCAAAGACATTTGCTTCTGAGAGCTTCTCACGATAACCTTTCTAACTAAAATACTGCGTTCCGGGTTACGAACTGGTCATCACTCCAACTGCCGCAACTGTTAAGGGGGGGAGAAGGGCACATCGAAATTGCCGTCCGCGGGAAATGTGTGTCTGGAGCGCACATTGTCCGCCTCCTCATCGAACCCCGCACCTGGGGTGTGACGTTAATGTGAGGCGACTTTCAACCCTAAGCAAAGCGTTGATCATCCGGACAAAGCCTTAGAGGTATTGCTTAACCGCCTAGGATACTGCTGCTGGCGACGATGGCGACAAAAGCATCAGCCTCTGGGCAGTCCCCAGGACACGAGACCCAGCGCAAGCACTGCCACCGCCGCAACCAATCACTGACACCACAGAACGCCAGCCAATAACATTCGGCTCGAACCGATTTCCGCACCGTGCGGCGCTGTGGCTCCAACCTGCCGTATAAAATACGGAGCGTTTGATGAGGCAGCCCCCCACATCTGGCCCTTCTACCAGCAGTATTCATCATACGGAAGATGGTGGCAACATAAAATAATTATGCACTGGGCTTAACAGTTGAAATCCTCCGTTCCTTTGTGGGCGTAAGTTCCTGTACAAGGACAAGATTGATGAATTTACCATGAAATCATCCCATATATTACGGATGTATACAAGCATTCAGTATTTCTGGAAAAACACACATCTACAGTAAATATGCCATCACATGAAATGCTAACCGAAATTCTAAAATAGGCTTTCG